ATTCTACCCAAACTGTGGTCCGTGGACTTACAGAATGCCTTATCTGTAAGACATCGCACTCCACACAGCACACTTCTGACAACGACTTCACCTCTCAGCCAGAGAAGTGCAAGCATGGGCCCACTGTCAGGGAATCCATTGGACTTACCACATTCCTCATTTCCGGTATCAATGGTTGGGTCCCAGGGGCACACAAATAATGGGGAACAGAACACTGAAGTCTAGGAACCGGAAGCAAACTTTATCCCAATCAACATGGGGCACAAAAATCTTCCAGCTCACTGGGGCCACAGGTCAGAATTCAGGCTTCTGAGACTGTGGTAATGAAGCCTCTTATAGTAAACATCAAGCACCAGGTCTGGTCAAAACAGCTTTTTACTTAAGGTCACACTACAATGTAAGATTTACTACTTTTTATTATAGGTTGCTAACTTAGAAGATTTGTGGAAGCTGGTAGCTATCTCGACACAGCTGCTTTTTATGTCCCTGAAAGAATGCAAGGCAGGGGGCCACATAGGAGGACAATTCAAAGTTAAGGAATCACAACGCAGGGAGTCATAGAGAAGCAATTGTTAGAAGCTAACCTTTGTCCACTGTAACTGCTTGGCTGTAAGGCAGGAAGCAATTTAGAGGTTAATCTTTGGACATCATAACTGCCTGGCTATAGGGCAGGAGACAATTGTTACCTCTTTACACAGTAACTGCCAGCCTATCTGCTATAAGGCAGAAAGCTATTGTTAAAAGTTGTCTGTCAACTTCAATTTCTCCAGAATATGTTTAGGTTTACAATTTATATTCTGAACTCTTCACTATTTTTTTTTTATCTTCACTAGGATTTCTATTGACATGATGAAACACCATGACCCAAAACAACTTGGGGAAGGAAAGATTTATTTGGCTTACATAGCCTGAATCACAGTCCATGAGGGAAACCAAGCCAGGGACTCAAATTGGATGGGAACCAGAAGGCAGGTGCTGATGCAGAGGCCACGAGGGACTCTGCTTACTGGCTTGCTCCTAATGGCTTGTAAACCTGCTTCCTTATAGAATTCATAACCACCAGGGCAGGGGTGGCACCATCCACAATGTGCTGGGTGTACCCACATGAATCAGGGATTTGAAAATGCTCTACAGGATTGCCTACGGCCCAGTCTTACTAGGAAGTTGTTTCAGGATCCCTTCTCTCAGATGGCTCTCTCTACCTTGCGACAAGTTGACAAACTAGCCAGTACAAGTGTATTATGGAGGATACAAACAGCCTGAGTTTCCCATGAAAGCTAAGAGCATGCTGATATTCCCTCTGCATCCCTTCATGCCAGAACGGAGGCTCATGATGAATCAGCTGATCGGATGCCCCCACCTTGGACATTTTGTGGGTGGAAGTGGTACACGTGCACAGTCAGAATTAACTGTGAGGTTGCACAGGAATGTGTTTCTAGTGACTGGGAATGTGCTCCTTGTCTCTCAAACAAGATCATTCAGGGGCCCTTCTCTCCTGTTCAATAGACTCTTGCCTCCGTCCACACCCTGGAACTACCGCTGGGTGCCTGGCTGTTGTAAATCTATCAGGTGAGGCCATTAGAAGCCTGAGAGGGAGGAAAATGTGAGGGTCGGGACAGCATTCCTGCCTAGAACCTCCTATTTGCATTTATATTTGCTGCCTATACTAGGCAAGGTCCACGTAGAGTTTGCCACACTGAGGGGAACTCAAGATCTTTGACAGAGTCCATGGAGAAGGGCTGAGGTTAGGTTGAATTATCAGGGTGAATGCTTTACTTGTGGGTGAGTCTGGAACGTAGATCTCCTCCAGCCCAGGAGCTGGTGGTGGTGGAGGGCCTCCTTGTGTCTTTCAGGTCCCCTGTGCCCCTTCACCACTTCCTGTTTCTGAGTCACATTGGTCGTCTTAACCCGCCAATGGTGTCTCTGACAGACTGTCCGCTACTTCGAGGGATATAAACTGCCATATGGGTTAAGCCAGGCAGAAGGGACCCGGAGGGCCTTGGGAGAGGGCTGTTTCTCTTTGGCAAACATTCTGTGGCCTGAAGGCCCCCTTCCCCCGCACCGCCAGTACCCGTCTAACTCAGTTGTGTTAAAGAGACTACCCCACCCTTTTCTCCTCCTCCTCGTCAGGCCCAGCATCTCCCACATGGCTCAAACTCTGATGTCCTTAGCAAACGTCATCAAGGGTGATGCTCCTATCCACATTTGCTTTTCTGTTTACTGGAACATCTGGGGTAGAGGATTTAAATAATGTCCAACCTTCCTACTTCCCTTCCCACTAGCCCGTCAGTTTCTCATAGCCTCCCTGGGGGGTGGGGGGCAAGTTCACTGGCAGGAGACCACCCGCCTTCCCCACACGGTCCTGCCAGGAAACAGCAGCTTTGCCGCACACCTGCCAACTGACAAGGACTTGGGCTCAGGACAAAATGAGGTCTGAACGAGATTTCTGCAAACAGGGAAATCCGAGATTCAGAAGTAAAAACTTGCTGATTTCTGCTGAGAGAGGCAACAATGTGTGTTAGTGTGTGTGTGTGGGGGGGTGAGGGTGTGGAGGGGTGACCAGGGCCCCTCTCCTTCCTCCCCAGGAAGGAGCAGCAGCAGCCTTTGCTGACACAGTGCTGGCTGATCTGCCCAAAGCTAATGCCAAGTGCTCCTTCCATTAACCCTCTCCCCAGGAATCACAACCCCAAGCTTGAGATAAGGAAGTCCAGTGCTCAGCTGAAGGTCCTTGCTGCTGGGGGCAGGGGTGGAGGTTGCAGGAGCTCCCAGCTTCTTCCCTTCCCAGAGCACTGTGCTTAAAGGGGTACAGGGAGTCCTGTGTGTGTGTTTCCATCCTGACTGGCTGTCCCCAGCAGGATGGGAGTGGGCAAGAGGGGACATGCACAGTCTAGCCTGCCTGTATCCCTCCTGCCAGGCCAGGGAAGAGCCTTAAACCAAGAACAGACAACTAGTGTGATGGCTGATGGTGAAGGGCCCCACTGCCTGGGAGGGATGCTTCTTAGATGAGGCAGGGATGTTTTAGACACCTGCCCCTCCCCAGTACCAGAGAGCTCAGAAACTGTCAGTGTCACACACGAAGTGGGACTGACACCCGAGGAAGTTGGGGAGCACAGCTGCTAGAACATTGTGCCTGCCACAGTGCAGCATCGGGAGAGCTGGGGGAACATTGGCAGCCTCCGAGGATGGGCTCTGGGTTCAGTGCTCTTTGTAGAGCCAGAACCTGAGCTGGGGGACAGCCCCTTGCGCAAGGGTCCTTGCCTCCTTTTCAGAAGTGATGCAGGTCCTGTAGTATCAACCTAGGTACAGTTGGCATAGGCTGGGGCCCTGGAGGGACACACACACACACACACACACACACACACACACACACACACACACACAGAGTCACTTCCCTCTGGCTAGCCACCTAAGAGTTTCCAGGTGACATGTAACCATAGATTTGGGTTAGATCGGGAGAAAGACACAGCAATCGAACCTTCTCGACATGGATGCTAGAGTTATCTCTGACCGTCTACCGGATATATGAAAGATCAAGAGCTGATTCCCTGCTCGAGTACATGAGGCTGCATCGCTCTCCCAGGCCCTGCCCACCCTCCTTCCTTCGAGGGCTCCTGTCCCAGGAAGTCATGTCTTGGCATGGCCACTTGGCCCTTCTGCTGCCATATTGATTTTATGTCTGCTCTTGGTCACTGAGGATATTGGCTGGTTCATGTTACCTCATTATCCACTTGGCTGCTCACTTCCCTTCTGTCTCCACATCCCTTGATCTTATCCCTTTACAGCAATCTCTTTGGGTTTGGCCAGCCATTCCTTGTCCTCACTTGGACCTGGAACCTCTAAGACCTCCCTGGTTCTCTGTAACTAAATTCCCCTCTCTGTCAAACCCACCTTCCACGGCACCCTCTCCATGCTCACGTGCCAACATCATCAAGACCTCTATTTGTCTCCATCCCCCTATTAGTGACATGGAACTGGTGGCTCTATTGGCCATCATCATCTCTCCTGGGCATGGCCTGTCAGCTGACTTGCATTTCTCTGCCTCGTACTTCCAATAGTCTAACCATTCCCCACTATGTTTCCCTTCTTAGAGTTTCCACTATTTCAAAACCACCACATATATGCATACATGCATGCACGCATGCACGCACACACAGAGTCTTTTAAAACATCCTGTCAGCTAAAAACAAATTAGAGAAAATGTGTGATTCCCAAAGCCTAAAAAGCCCATTTTCTGACCATGTTGTGGCATCTTTAATAGCAGGGTTGAACCTCTGCATTTTTACTACCCCAGGTCCGGAGCATCAGTAGAGAGAGCTGAAGAGCCCAGAGACCCAGTTCACGGCGCCTTTTCCTGGAAGGCGCTTTTTGGCATGGCAGGTTAGACAGGCTGTGTCAATTCCCCTCTGAATTCTCCAGAGAGGACGAAACACTCAGAGGTCTTAGGTCCAACCAAGGTCAGGCCAAGAGACCATCTCTACCTTCTGAGCCTTTTTGTTCAGTTGGGGAAAAAATGGAGGGTATAAATCTGGTTAAGGCCTCCCCAACTATATGGAACCTGTGGGTTTAGTTCAGTCTCAGGTGAAGCCATTTTCAAGGGGGAAATCTCCTGCCTCTGATCCTCTATCAAAGATGGAGCCAGATACTAGGACTCAGCTTTATAAGAAAAGGGAGGTCTTTCTCCTGCTTAGCAAGGAGGGGAGGGGATTATGGTTCCTGGTTAGAGTAGACATGAAGGGGGTGTGCCAGGCCTGTGCCATCACAGATTGCACATGAGCAAGTCTGGGGCTCCCTGGGTCTGTATGCACATGTGTAAGGAGGGACTCAAAATGGCCAGGCTCTTGCAAAGGGCTGTGGATTAACTCTCTGATGTCCTAGGGCAAGGTCTTCTGTTCAAAACACATTGCATTGCACTTCTGTCTTTTAATCTGGTAACGGCTGTCATCTCTCAGGTCCAGAAAACAATTCCCCTTCTCCCAGTGCTCCTACTACCAAGGTCCCTCATCTCAGATTCCAATCAACCCTAAGAGCCTCTTGTGTTGAGCAATTCTTTCCTTGAGGAGTGAAACAGTTTGGGGATCCAGAATCTCCAAGTCCTGGAGGGTTTCCAGGAGCTGCTCCCTGGTAGCGCCAATGAAGGAATTCTCTAGGAAGGCTGGCAGGCCTCCCACACCATCGTGTAAGGTATACAGGGGCACCCGCACCAGGCCCAAGACCTGTGAAGGGGAGGAGACAGGACACAATTCTTACTACAGCCAGATTGCTTGAGCAGATAGCACTGTACAACAAGACCCAAGAGTTCATGCTTCAGTGAGGCCCAATGGGCCTATCCCTGTCCAGGCAAAATCCCCAAGACAGGCTATGCCCATCTCCACAGGGATCCTTCCCACAGCACTTTCCTGAGGCCTGACTCCAGACACAGCAGATGCAGGCAAGCCCTGCACATAATCAGTTCTGTCTCAGCTGTGTAGGCCTTGCCGGCAAACTCAAGAGAACTGCAAATTCACAGACCTTCTTAAGGAGGGTTGGCAGAGGGAAGTCTGAAAGTTGCTTTCTCATTAGGGAACTGCCAGTGTGAACGCTGGGGTCACTTTCCAAACCTCTCCTCTCCAGGAGTTTGGTACTTGCCAGAGTTAGAGCATCTCTTCCATGTACCCACCCTGTCCCCTACTCCCCTGGGCCCAAAGTCAAACTACTATTGTGGTGTCATGTCTGACCATTATCATACTTGGGTGAGTATGTTCTAGAAAAACCTCTGCAGAGGCCAGTCGCATGTGTGTGTGTGTGTGTGTGTGTGTGTGTGTGTGTGTAAATTTTTCAATATTATTGGTCAGCCTGGACACGTTCAGGGTTTTGACTAGTGCTGGACACTGGCAAGGGCACAGGTCTGATGATCAAACCTCCCAAGGGGCCCCACCTCCAGCCCGTAGTCTTTGGCTAGTGGTGCTTTGGCTTCCACGGCCTGGAGTTGCTCTAATGTCAGACACTTGACATAGAAGTGGGCCACCACTTTCGATTTGGCATCGGTGAGGGAGCTTCGGTAGTCGGTGTGTACCACACTGAAAGTAGACACACCCTCACCCAACCTCTTCAGCAGTTCGTGATTCAGCCCGGCCTCCAGGCTGGGGCTGTGATCATCCACAATGCCACCAGGGAAGCCCAGTCGCCCATCAAAGCGCATGTACATCTGGGGGAGGAGGGAGTGGGGATTAGTTCGAAGACGGAAAGGTGATCCCCCCCCCCCCAGAAGGGCACAGAGCTAGGGCAGAGATTGGCTGTTCCTTACCAGCACAGCATAGCGTACTGGGATACGGCCACCGAAGAGCACCCTTGGATTGGGGGCGTACAGCATCACGTAACAAAGATGCCGCCAGGCGGGCCCCAGGGCCAGCGCTTCCGCCAATTCCACCTTATTGGATGTAGCCATGATTCTTTGCTTTTGTCCACTCACGTGATTGTGGTTCGGCAGGAGATTCTCGCCCCAGACCACCAATGAATGCCTGCAGGGGCCATGAGCATTACGAGACACCAACGCAGGCTTTGCTAGGGGAACAGCAGCCAATCAGGCTGGGGCTTTTAGGCCAGGCAGTGGACAAGGCTCTAAGGAAGCTGGAAGCTTCTGCAGGATTGGGCTCTGGACCAAGGCGTGGCAAAAGGTGTGGCTGGTGTCCTAAGTCATAGTTAACGAGGGTGGCAAAGCTGAGTCTCAGGTTTTGTATGTTGGGCAAGATCAGGTTACCAAGGAGTTATGAGAGCTGAAGGGACAGGGGTCCAGAGAGCCGCCTCAGGTTTGATTTTGACGTAAAATGTGGGTTGGAGTTGGTGTGGGAAGAATGAGTAGGAATTGTGACCTTATGATGGAGACCCAGAGAGTTCCCCTGCCTCTTCTGATGTGTCAACAACTCAAGGGTCCTCAATGGGCCAGGACATGGACCCTCACCAGACAAACCTTCCTGCCCCTTGATCTCAGACTTGCCGATCCTCATAGTATGAGACATAAGTCTTGGCTGTTGGCTCTTCCAGTCTAAGTCATTTTGTTGGAGGAGTGGTGATGGACTAAGATGACAACATTCAGGACTTTGGGGCCTACGGTCACACGTGTAGTAGTCACCCTGCTATGCTAGATACCCTGCTCTGAAGGTGTTCATATTCTCCAACATGGTTAACATGCCAGGTAACAGCAGATTTGCTAGTGTCTCTCTGTCCCCCCCCCCCCTCTCTCTCTCTCTCTCTCTCTCTCTCTCTGACACACACACACACACACACACACACACACACACACACACACACACACACACGTTCTACCTTCCCAAGTTTCTGCAGATGTAAATTTAGTGCAACTGTCTGAGTGGGTGGCTCACGCTCTCAGGGATCATGTCTCAAGGAGCCTTCTCCACAGCCTGTTTGGATTTGTGTCTACAAGCATCCCGTGATGGTGGAGGTAGATCTGGCCATTCCACAAAGGAGATCTAACTTCTCTACATAAAAGCTGCTTCTGTGACCTCAGGTTCAATGTTGCTGTAGTTTCTTATTCATTGTATCAGTTCATCCACAGGCTTCTTCTGTCCTCCCATTACCCTAATTCTTTGGCTGCTGTCCTCACTGTCTCCCCAACTCCTGGGCCCAATAAGCTATGGCATGGTCTTCCTTACTTCGTAGCTATTTCCTACGGGAGGGCTGTTGGTTCTTACTAGGAAATTGTGCTGGACAGCAAGATTGTCCAGGTAGAATATGACTGTACTGTAAGCTCTAGGCCCCCCTCAGCTGGGAGAAGAAGGAATTATGTGTGTTCAATGACCCGATCTCTCCCACTTCCTTCTATATATGTAAATATTTCCATGTGTGAGCATCTGAACCTGTATTAATTAGAACAAAACTTCACACTAATGTTTCCAGCTCTGATCCACCACAATGTGGGCCATCCTGCTCTTTCTCCCCTGCCTTGCAAATATATTCACTTGTATTTCTTTAAAATGGGAAGATTACAATTTGGCCTCGACATTGTAGCATTCTCTGCTCTTAGTCACGCACTTTATTTATTTCTGATGTTTGCCTGGGATCCTTTGCAAGACTAAGCTTCTTTGTAGTTGTTCTATCAAAAAGGAAATCATCGAACTCCAGTGTTGTCTTTAGCTACACGGCCATTACTAAGGAGCCTTGTTCTCAACTTAGAAAGTAGCAAAGCCATAAGTGGTGGTTCAAACTACAGTTCAAGACTTGGGAGTCTGAGGCAGGAGGATCACTGAAAGTTTGAGGTCAGCCTGGACATACAGCATTACAGGGCAGTGTGGAGTGTGGACTACGGAGGGTGTGTGTGTGTGTGTGTGTGGGGTCTCTTCCTGACACACACACCAATGCATGCCTAAACTTAGCACCTAGTAGAAGATGCAAACTCAATGTGTATTCAGCTGGAGTACAAAGAAGCAGACCCCCTCTGTGGAAGACACAGCTCCAGTAGATTCCATTTCCTCCCTTAAGACAGTGTTAATGCCGCAAACACAGGGTTCATGCTTTGCCGGGACTATTTTGAAAAGGAGCATCTAGTTTTTTTGTAAAAAGTCACAGTCTATTTGAGACAGCCCTCCCAATGTATAAAAAGCAATGCCCCTGCCCCAAATAAAGCCTGGGGATTTGAGTGTGGGGGAAAGGACGGAATGCCAGAAGGTTAGTTTATTGCCATGGTGACATGTGAGCATCAAGCATAAGGTCGAAGCATACAGTAATCAACACTGGTCAGTTGCTCAGGAGTTTGGAGTATATGAATGGTTTACTTTATTTTACAGAGGATGGGCTTGCCCAGGAAGACTCTGCTCCAATTCCTGTGCTCGTGTGGGAAAGGCTGGAGATGACAGCAGGTCCCATATTCAGGGACCAGCATCCTTCCAACTCAGCCAACTCAGGGTCCAAGGCAAAACTCAGAGTCAAACCACTGAGAAATAGCCTCAAAGTTACAAGGCCACAGCCAGGGAGTGTAGGGAGGGGTCAGCCAGACAACTCCATCTACTGGAAAGGTAAAAAGGTCACATTTCTTATAAACAAAAATGTTTCTAGCTGTTGAAGGACTGCCTCCCAGACTAAGTTGGAGTCTATTTGTCTATTCTGCTGGTCTTAGTCTATCTCCTTTTGTTATAACACACTGTATTAGCACCCGCAGACCAGATCATTTATAAAGAACAAAGAATTGCCCACATTAAGGTTTTAGAGACTGGAAGGTCAAAGGTTAAGGCAGCAGATCTAGTGAAAGCTTCCTGTGGATGGAGACTCTGAAGAATCCCCAGGTGGCACAGTCATCACATGGCCAGAGGGGCCATGTTTTATGACAGACAGATCATCCATGAACCAGTGACTGCATCGTCCAGGCAGGCAGAAATTCTTGACCCAATCACCTCTTAAAGGTTCCATCTAGTCTCACTTTTTGCTGTCTCAGAAAGATTAAATTCCAACAGGTTTTGCTGCAGTCCTACATAAATTCCAATGGCCATTGCATTCCTAGTAAATATTTACCAATATAGTAATCATTTGTTGGGCCATATTTATGAACTGTTTTCTGAAATTGGGGAAGAACTGAGGACCCCCGTAATGATTATTTTGAGACTATCCTGGAACTTAAGGAAGACTGCAATGTCTTCACCCATGAGCTATGGTTTAAGGTGTCAGCCTCTTTTATGCCGAACCCAGAGTGATGGCTGGGCTCTTATAAAACCTAGGACATTTTTTCCCAGCTCCACCCTTGAAGCCATTAAACAATTAACTTTCATCCTTGGTGTGCTTTATCTCTGCATCACCCAAAATAGCTGGTGGCGTTTCTTCTGTAAACCTAGATGGCAAAATGTATGTGTGTGTGTGTGTGTGAGAGAGAGAGAGAGGGGGTGGGAGAGGGAGAGGGAGAGAGAGAGAAGCAAGGCACAAAGTCCCTTCATCTCCCATCTCTGTGACTGTTTCATATTTGGCATCTTCCAGGGATTGTTATTATTATTAGTTATCTACACTGAAGTAGCCCCAGATTAAGACTGTATTGCTGAAGGACAAAGATGTAATGACACACTCTTTTTCAAGTCAGGTCAAATCCTGCCCCTCACTCCCACACCACTGAGCTAAAGGGAAGGGAAACTCCAGTGGTCTTTTAAGAGTCTATGGTCTCAAACCCCTTTACACTGGCTCTCCTTTCTTCTAAGGCTGATGCATCAAAAACACACAGATCTCCAGAGAGTAGGATATTATCCCTCTGCACCTGTCTTCTTAGAAACATGTTCTAAAATGCAAGGCACTGTTCTCTGGGCACATTATGAATTCCTCTCAGACCCAGCAACTCACAGAAGCATTATCCTATGTTAATATTATGATGACCATCATCAAGGAGACTAGACACATTCATTAGCTTGACTTCTTTTACAGCCCCTTGTCTTCTGACCAGTTTGCCATATGGTTGGGCATCAAAAGACCTGGGGTATCTAGAGGAATCTTTCTTGATGTGAGGTCTCTTGTTACCGCACAAACTGGCCTCTCCTCTGAGTAAAATTGATCAACAACACAAAAAATGAGGACATGAAGTAGGGAGAGAGATGGGGTGGAGTGGAGAGGGAATTGGAGGAAGGAAGTGGAGGACAATATTGTTTTAGGGTAAAGTCAAAATCAACTTGGGAAGGAATGGGTTCATTTCAGCTTACATTTCTACAACATACATACATGCAGACAAAACACTCAGATATATAAAATAAAAGTTAAGTCTTTAAAACACCAACTAATACCTCATCCATGTGTAAATTTTTAAATGTTGTCAGTAGTAACAAATAGCAAACAAAACTAAGCAAACATGACCTTTACATAGATGTGTTACGTTTAATAATGTATTGTTGTAAGAAAAGATAATGGGCTGGTGAGATGGTTCAGCAAGTAAGAGCACTGGCTGCTCTTCCATAGGTCCTGAGTTCAATTCTCAGCAACCACATAGTGGCTCACAGCCATCTATATTGGGATCTGATGCCCTCTTCTGGTATGCAGGTGTACATGCAGACAGAGCACTCATAGATAAAAATATGTAAGTAAATAAAAAAGAAGAAAAGGATAAAATAGGTGATTTGCTTTATAATAATGAAATCTATATTCATTATGAACAAAAGCCTTTATTGCTCCATGAGTGAGTTTTGGGAATAAATCACAGAATGGAGTCACTGTCGGGATTCGATCCAAGCCATTATTTATATACTGCTTGCATGTTAGTCAGAAAAAGAAAGAAAAAATGTTGTTCAAAAAATCCATCACTGGAGATTAGCAGGCAGATGTCCAGGCTGGTGTCCCATGCCCATCACAAGCAGGTTGGACATAGCTCTTAGAGATCATGGTGGGTGGGTGTTGAGCATGCCCTGGATGGATGCAGTATGAGCACCTGAGTCGTCAGAGTGCTTCTACCCACTGCAAACCCTGGGGCTGAAGGCGTGAAGGAAAGCCTTTCTATGACCCAGACCCACAGGCACCAGCAGCCAGCTGAGTGCATACAGACATAGATACCATAATTTCTGACCAGGAACTGGAGGTTAAAGATGGAGGCTCCAGCTGAGCAATTGTTTCCCAGACTGTAAAGCTCGTGGATTTTCACAGGAATGTATGTGCATCTTTGTGGGCAGCATCACAGTGAAGGCTCCGGAGAGCAGGCTCTTTTCCTTCTGTGGTCAGCAGCTGCTCCTCAAGATAGAGGAGCTGGTCAACTTCAAAGCAGTCACTGGCCCGAGGAACCACCGTCTCCAAATGCTCCCGGACCTCTGCTTCACAGGCCTTCTGATGCCTTGCTCTCCTGAGGTAATCATAGACCTCCTCAAACACTTCCATTCCTAGCTTCTGCATGGCTGATCTGCCAAGAAAGGTAGGAAAGATTACAAGTCCCACACAGAGACCATCTGCAAGAAAGTACACTATAAAATCTATGGCTATACAAACAATGCAACCCTGGCATTCGGGAGGGGGAAGAGAGGACATTAAAATAGAGTATTTCACCCTCAGCATTCGACGGTGGTCACCAAGCCATGTCTGAGTGTTGGCTAATTGTGTCCCAAGTACTCCTTCAGAAACTTGAACACAGCAGAAAACACATGAGGAATATCCTTGCCTTCACCCATGCGTGTGTACACACAATGGATCTGCTGGTATTTCATCATGATTAATAAGGCTACTTTATGATGAAAAGGTCATAAGCGGGAAGTCTAAAATCCAAGCTACAGAACCTAGCCGCTCTGCACTGCCACTTTCTCCTTGGCCTGAACAATAAGGGTAAAAGTGTGCAGGCTGCTGCATGATTATGTGGCTACATCCCCATCTTTGGTTTTGACACTTTTTAAAAATATATCTTCCCTAGGAAAAAAATGCTTTTGGGGAGAAAGATGCAGAGAGGCCAGGAAGTGGTAAAAACATGCAAATATGCAAATTCATAGAAATTATAATGAAGCAAAAAAAAAAAAAAAAAAAAAAAAAAAACAAAGGCACATGGCCTATTCTTCAGGCATAGTATAAGAAACTCTTTCCATGCTTATAGGCAAAACATTCATACACATTTTTTTAAAGAGCCCTGGAAGTGATTCGTGAACTGTAAGGCACCCTGCACATCAGGTGTAGAGTCACACAGACACAGAATGTTACAGGCTCTGTAGCAATGCCATTTCGACTCAGGGGGAAAGACAACCATCGCGAGTCACTAGGAATGAGTAAGACTAGCCCTCTGTTGCTCTAGTATCTCAAGTGGCGGGCTATGAACAGGGCTGGGGAAAAGACAGAACTCCATACAAGTAGGCATGCAGTTCAGGAGCATGAAGCTTCCCCCATGGGACATTTGACCTTAAGGTCTTCACCCCGCCCCCACGTTACATTCTTTGTTCTCTACCAGGTAGACTCTCTAATGCAGTTGTGGGCATGGTGCTCTGTTGAGGCTAATATTCCTTACAGGGTTATCTTACTCATAGCTGAAATTTCATCTATTATTCTAAAGTTTAGACCAACTATAGAGCAAGACCCTGCTAGGAACTGCAAGAGACACACTTAAAACATAAAGTTTGGAAAAATAAAAAGGGTTAAAGGAAAACACCAGGAATATTATAATCAAATGAAATCTGAGGTAGCCATATTAATATAAGCCAGATTTTAAGTGACAAAATAAAAATAAAAATAGTTGCTGGAGGTGGGTGGGATTAAGAGCAATGGCTAAACAATCATGAGGGCCAGAGTTTAAATTTTAGTACCCAAATAAGAAGCTGGGTGCACCAGCTCCAGGAGGTTAGAGACAGGAAGATCACTGTAGCTTGGTGACTTTCAGTTTGGCCAAGAAAATGTGAGTCCCATGTTTAGGGAGAGGTCTTGTCTCAAGGGGATAGGTGAGGCCCATAGAGGAGGACTTTGATGCCCTCTTCTGGCCTCCATGAACACACACAGGTATGCACAAACATGTGTACACTGTCATATACAAAGGAATAAAGCCCTTTAAAAGCCCCTTATTGGGATAAAGAGTCACTACCCAATGATAACATTTCAAATCTCAAGGAAAAAATAAACATGTTCAACTAGCATGTAGCTACTAACTGTAAGCATAAGAAGCACTACAGAGATAAACGACTGGATGAGCCTTCTTAACAGAGGATTTCAAAATAGCTTGCTCCATCATTGGTAAGTGGCAACTTGAAAGTTTTAGGAATAGGGATGGAGAGATGGGTCGGTGGCTAAGAGCATGGCTGCTCTTCCAGAGAATTGACCCCCAGCACCCACAGGCACCTCACAACCATCAGTAACTCCATTTCTAGGGCATCTGATGCCCTCTTCTGGCCTCCACAGGCACTGCACGCTCATGGGGCACAGACAGTGACACAGTACAACACTCATACACAAGATGAAAATAAAAATTTAAAACAAAGTAACAATGACACAGAGGACCCGAAGAGCATAGTTACTGACTTGGACACACTCAGAGCCCAGCCCTCACTGCCATGAGGGAACACAGATGCTTCTCTGACTCTTAGGAGATTGTAACACGACAAATAAAAGACCCAGGGACTTATATTGGGGTTCAAACTTCAAGCTGGTGATCAGAAAAGCAAAGCAGCTGGCTACTAGCTCTCACCTCTAGCTCAGGCTAAAAGGGATGATCCATGAGCTCTTCACCAAGCCTCAAACCGCTACCTCTCCTCAGCTTGTCTGGAGAATGAATACCCCCTACTGAATACTGAAGTCCCTGCTTCTGTCTTTATACCCCTCTAGTGCTGGGATTAAAGGTGTGATCTGTTACTCTTTTAGACTGATTCAGTCTGGGGTATCCCCGAGTGGCCTTAAATTTAGAGAGATCCATCCTATCTGTTAATCCCGAGTCCTGGGATTAAAAGTGTGTATATACTACCGCTCCTAGCTTCTGGTTGCTGGAATTAATGGCGTGTGCCACCAACTGCCTGACCTCTATAGCTTGAGGCTGACTTTGCTTTTCTGAATCCCCAGGCAAGCTACCATAAATCCGAATAATATATCACCTCAGGAAATGTTTGCAGAAAGGCATCAGCTAGTATACAACTCAAGTCTCAACAACATTTACACATGTAAGTCAATTTAAATTATTTTCTAAATTACAGGCCAAAGAAATAATCAGCCATGCCATAAACTCATGTGAGGCCAGGAGGAAGTGGGCAGGCAGGGGCTTCCACACTGGAACACTGTGGTGATGTCTGCTTAGACTCAGAGAACACACGGATATTTCTACAACAGTGCATTGGATGCTCAGGAGTCATAAAATAGAAACGTCTATTTAAGGGGATGCTCTTGTTGTTATTTGTGATTGGGGAAAGGAGGGCAGCGTTCTTTATACTGTTCACATTAAAATGACTGTCTTTTTTTAAGGAGGAGATGTGGGGTATGGCTCTCACTACCACTAGTCAGAGCTCTCAAATGGAAAGAACTTTATTTTTAATTTCCCATCCATTTTTACGTCCCATTTCCGTTTTTTTTTTTTTTAAGTCAAAAGTAAGTCTTTAAAGTTGCTCTAGGGACTCTTCCATATCAATTTTTGCCCTAATGCTTTTTTTTTTTTTTTTTTTTTTTTTTTTTTTTTTTACAGGTTGTTTGAACAGCCCAAGGTCGGACAGGCAGTTGGGGACAACCTAGGACTAGATATCCAGCTACCAGGTTTACCAAGCAATAATTCCATGGGCTGGAAATGGTACCTGAACACTGAGACCAGCTGCAAGACTGCCCGATTTCCAGAGCTAGAACCAGGGCAAATCCTGTGGGAACCAAGAGGTCTTGGTACACAGCCCCCACATACAGATGGCTGAGAAATGTTTGTGCAAAATAAGATGTTCCGTGTTCCACCCGGGTTCCTGGAACTGTTTTTGTTTTTGACAAAGCCCTTTCCGGGAACACGATGACTGGGCCTGAACCCAGGCATGGGACATGAGGAACTGCCTCGCTGTCTCCCCCTCCCTTCTTTAGTCCAGGGTACATAAGCCTCCAAGCCGCTTTAATAAAGAGCCTTCTGATCTTGACTGCTGTGTGTATTCAATCCTGACGCCCTCCGCGTGACTTGAACCCAGGCCATACAGGCTCGGCAAAATCCTACCTGCGTGATTGGCTGACTCAGACCGGAAACTTGCTTAAACTCCCATGGAGCACTTCCTCTCTTCTTGCCCCGCCTCCAAAACCAGTCTCCCTTCTCCGAGTAAAGAGGAAAAGAAAGATCTCTTCACTCAGCCTTTGCTGTGCTTTCTAACTCTATTAAATATTGGTTATTATTTTTTGTTCTTTATTTTTGTTTTGAAACAATCTTACATACCTCAAGGTGGCTTCAGGCTCTCTACGTAGTTGAGGCTGGCCTTAAACTCCTAATCCTCCTGCCTCCATCTCCTGAGTCCTGTGATGACAGGTTTAAGTTACCACACCTACACCAAAGTTAACTATTCTTTCTGTCCTCTATCCCAGGGGCTATAAAGAAAAAGGCCACATGTATCCTTTGGCTCTTTAAGGGTAACATAAAATATTCTCACATTTGAAATCCTAGTTTTATTTTTAAACAATCTCATATTTATGGAAAGTTCCAGAAGTACGAACACCTCGGTGCTTGAGGCTTTTGAGAATGAGTAGTTAACTAGACGCTTCCCCACATATATTTTGTTTGTCATACATACAATCTCAAAATGAAGACTAGTCGCCAAATCAGGGAATTGACACCAATGAATTACTGTCATCTAATTGACAACTTCTCCCAACTGTTCAAAGCGCCGCAGTTTAACAAAGGCCACAGAATGACCTTGACTTAGTCTCGTCAGTGATTCCGACTCCCTCACTTGGGTTACCTTACCGGTCTATCTCACTCTTTGACTATCTCTTCTTTTATGTTATCCTGAAGATGAATTCGAATCCACTCTCCTATTATCTCAGGGTTTTCTTAAAGAGCCCCAACTATGCTCTTTATTTATTCTTTTTTATCTTATATGTTTAAAATTCTTTTTATTTTACAAAGTGTGTTCCAGTGGTTTTCCACCCCTCACCTTCCTCCTACACATTCCGGCCCCCTGTAGCTTCATCATGCCCCGTGTGTCATTTTATCCACCCCCATCTTTCCTAGTCACCTATTAGCATTCTCTCTTGGTCTTTTGTACCTTTATTCACACTTACACATATTTATCTGTATACATATTACACATTATAAACTAGGATTTGCGTATGAGAGAGAATATGTGGAGCTTTTACTTCTGAGTTTGGATTATTTTGTTTAATGTTGTATTTTCCAGATCCATCTTTTTTACTGCAAATTTCATTTTTTTAAAGATGTGGAATAATTTGACCATGTATATACGTATGTATGTATGTATGCATGTATGTATGTAT